GTCTACAAGAGCTATTTCCAGGACAGGCTACAAAGCTACACAGAGAAATCTTGTCTTGAAAAACCAAAACAGAAAAAAAGAAAAAAGAAAAAGTCCACAGTTATAGTCATATGGTTATACTGCAAACCACATCTTTGATACAATTCAAAGATTATTTCTTAGGCTGGTAAAATGTCTGATTAGTGAATAAAACTGAACAGTGAGTTCAATCTCAGAACCCAAATGATAGAAGAGAATGGTCTCCTGCAGGTTATCCTCTCTCCCTCCCCCTCTCTCCCTCTCCCTCTCCCTCTCTCTCTCTCTCTCTCATACACACACACACACACACACACACACACACACACCTAAATAAACAAATAAATGTAAAAGTTTTAAAAATTCTTTACTGTGGACTACTATAGAAACAGCCCCTTGCTACAGAAACATTTTGTCAACAACAACAACCACAGAAAGAAATACTACAATTTTAGAAGAAATATCTTTGTCATATGAGCTTTTTACCAGTCTCTTGTTAAATGACCTTATGACAACATACACTTAAGCATGCTCAGTCTTCTATATATTTCTTCCTTAAAGTTTGAATTCTAATCCCCACCTCAAATTAGCCAAACCCTGAACTACCCAGTATTATCAGGATTAGTAAAAGGAATTGATTGTCCCTGCATTTTCAGTAGATAGCTGTATAAGATGCTACGAATATCATTTCAGAGGCAACAAAATTTGCCAATGGCATCTTCCAGTCTAAAATTTTCCATACATAGCTGATAGTGTATTTGCATGCTGATATTTTTCTTTTACTTTTGAGATAAGGTACTACTAAATGGTCTAGGCTGACCTTAAATTCCCAATCCTCCCATCTCAGCCTTCTCCCCAATAGATGGTGGGAATCAGACTACCATGTATCGCTAGTACTTGTACTTGTTGAGGCTTATGTTCTGAAATACCAACAATAATAAATAAGAATTTTGGATTTTTACTTCCAAATTTCAGACAGCAGGGGACAAGCTATGGGTAGCTGGTTCTAGAACTAACTCCTCTTGAGGGTCTTCCACTTTTTATTAGAAAAGAAAAATGTAGATTGGTACATCAGAAATCCAGTCATTCCCCCAAATAGTAACAGTAGTTAAAGTAGAGTGGAATATGTTAAATGTTTCTCGAAACCCAAGAAGAGACACCAAAGGGTGCTGCTAGGCAAGGAGATGAGACACTGAGGTCTCATCATTGTAATTCAGGCCTTCAGTACATGATGCTATACTTTGTAATCACAGGACTTTCCACCTTTCTTGGAGTATACTTCCAAATCTAAAGGGTAAATCTCAACTCAGATCAAGATATGCTGCCATCAAGTTGGCTGGTTCCAAGACAATAGTAGTGAGTGCTACGGCAGCCAAGAATTCCTTGGCACAGACTTGCTCAAATGACACTGGCAGCAGCACTGGCTCTTCTTTTTCTATCTCGACTGTTACTATAGCTCCTTTTGCTAAATCCGCCTCTGAGTTTAGACAGGAGCTAGATGGCTCATAATCACCCAGCAGCTGCAGCTGAGCAATACTCAGCTAATTGTGGCACTGGAGCAGCTGAGAAAAGAAAAAAGAAAATATATACCCTACCACAGCCACACAAACGGCTGTACACAGTACTTGTTAAGACACCAAGATACCTTAATAGGAATCAAGTATTTCCTTTAAGAAGCAGCAACTGGATCTTGCTAGAGGACTTGTATTTATATTATAAACCAGTTTAAATGTGAAACAAAGGTGACCTAGTCATGTAGCCCTCAGAACAATAGAAGATCTTACTAAAACTTCCTGTAAATATTCACACGGGGCCAGAGTAACAAACATCACCTTTACAACAAGGCAAAGTTCCTGTGACATAAGAACTTGGCACAGATGCAATCTCTTTGTCAGTGCTCCATTACAATAATGTTAAGCAACAAAATCAACAGCTAAAACAGCACACGACTACACAGAACAAATAAAGCAGCGTCTAGCAACTACACTGTCTCTGAAACGCAACCAAACGGTCACTATTTTCGTCTGCAACAAAAGTGTATTATTTCTTCAGACTCTACCCACTTCATTAAGTGTCAATAAGGAAAAAATTACTACATAACAAGAATCTCATGGGAATATCAAAACTAACCGACGAACTTTTTAGTTAAATCATTACTGCTCTGGAGAAAAAACAGAATGAAAGTCAAGACTTGCTGAATCACTTTTGTTATGGTACCTGATTTTCTCAAAAGTAGGTACTTGATAACAGAACAACATCCATTCATTCAATAAACATTTTGATTACTTACTATTACTTACATTTAAAAATAGTAAAGTATATTGCCTTCTCTCAAAATATCAATATAACAACAAAAACTAAGAGTATTTCTATGAAAAATACTTTTTTTCAAAATTATCTCATTATTGTACATCTGGAAATGTGTGGTATTTTCAAGGCAGTTATAGATACAGGCTAGTACATGACAGTTATGATGCAGAAAGCCTAAACCTGTTAGCAAAGGAGAGCCCAGGGAGTCACCAATGATTAAATTTTTTAACAAAAAGGGGAAAGATTGAAGGATGTGACAAGAAACCAGGTTATCCTCCCAAATTATTAGTTTAATCCAAACACCATCTATACTGCATTACACTAGGCATCTTAAAAATGTTCACGTAAAATATAAAACCTACGTACAGAAAAACACACAACTATATGACTTGATGAATTAAGATAAACACATCCACGACCCCAAGGTTAAAAGAACTTTCCTAACCAAGCGGTGGTGGCGCACATGGTGGCGCACATCTTTAACTCCAACACTGGGAAGGCAGAGGCAGGTGGATTACTGTGAGTACCAGGCTAACCTGGTCTACAGGGCAGTTTCTGAACAGCCATCACTGTTACAAAGAGAAACCCTGTGGAGAAGAGGGGGAATTTTTTCCTACTACTACAGAAGTAGGGATGCTTATCACAGCTGCCTCCCTCCCTCTCGAGAGTCTTTGTTTTTATGCAAATTACTTCCTTGTAGTTCTTTTTAAATACTAGTTTTATCACTTAAGTTTACATTTCTAGACCATTTCTAGATGTCAGAGCCTTTTTTTAAAAAATCTGTTTATGCCTCTTTCCTAAATCATGGCAACAGGAGCTAAATGTATTTTTTTTAATTTACCCATAATAAGCTATTTACCACTAGTACTATGCAATTTTAGAACTACAAATAAATAAAGACTAGTAATAATTCATTTGTGCTGGGTCACTAATCTTCTTTCAGCACTTATAAACACAAAAATAAAATTTATTTGCATAGACAATGATTTTCTGGAGTTTCCTCAACTAAAAACAAACTTTTGACTATATATTAATATTATCCTTTGACCATAAGACAAAAGTCTATACCTCTCCCAGGAAGACAGGTCAGGGCTGTAATTTCACTTTCAGTTAACAGAAAGGAGTCAATTTTGTGGTTTGTGAAGTCAGCAAAAACAGGCTGCAAAATTAAAGCTATGTTAACATTACCATGGTTATGGCAAAGTATATATTTTAAGAGCCCTTCTAGCTTTTATGCTAGAGACATGAATACAAACTGTCTTGTTTTAATCAAAGGCAATAGTTTCGGTTTTTTTCAAATTTAGGACCCTCTGAAATGTTAACCAGTATCTAAATTCTTCACTGTGGTTTAGCTGGTACTCAAAAAATAAGATATAGCTAAATGTTGACATGGCTAGAAGAAAGGAAATATTCCTCTGGTGTACAACTTTCATGCAGTTTGTGTTCTCTCATATGTGATGCATACAAGAACTTCGGCTTTTAATTTAACATCCTCTTACCTGTCCACTCAAAATGTTTTCTGTCCACAGTCACTGGACTTCTTAATAGAGTTGAACAAGTATTTCACATTAAGTTCATATGACAAATGCACATTTTGTAACATTTTAAATTTAGAAATTAAACAGAATTTTAATATACACTTTCAATTGTCAAGATACTTTTGGTACAGTAATCTTACAGTATAATGCACAAAATATACTACAACATGGTGTCCTGGGAAATCACCTATATGAAAACACAGCTGTGGGACACACATACATGACAAACGACAGAGCTGCAAAGTTGTGGGTGTACTGCAGACTTTTCATTTATTTATTTTATTATAACTGTCATTAACCATTTCACGACTGTTTCGATCACTTATGTAAAAAAAAAAAAAAAGCCCACACTATGCCCCGTTCACTACAGAAGTCCCTATTCCAGAAACGATATTCCCACTTTCTTAAAGCAGCTCTTCCGCGTGTCCAATAAAGCAAATGCTGGAAATAATTACCAAAAAGAAAAACAGACTCTCAGACAAAATTTTCATTAACACGGAATAAAGAGCCGAACCCAACACGAGGCAGAGTGTCAGGGCACCTTTAAAAGAGGCCTCTGAATATAATAATTCCCATCACCTTCAACCCCAAACAAAGGAAAACTTTATAAACTCGTCGCGGTTTTCAATCAAACCTTGCACAGACGGATGCTCACCAACTCTCACCCCTACCCCACCCCAGCCCCACGTCCCAGTCCTCTCTCCGGAAAGTTGCTGCGGGCGTCAGGCGACACAGACCTCTAGCCGCTAGGACAAGAAGGGGCCACTCCCCTGCCTCCCGCTCGTCCTCACTCGCGAGTGACCCGAAGCCCTTTAGAACGCAGGGTGCAACAGCGGCCCCGACGTCGACTAGACTACCAGTCGGACTCTCGCAGGATCGGGAAGGACTAGACGGGAAGGGGGACCGAGGCTGGGGGCCAGCAGGTAGCGCGCCCGGGAGACACGCCCGCCAGCCCGCCCGCCGGACCGCAGGAGGGAGAAGTTTCTCCACAACTTCCCGACTCCTGGCCCCGCCGGCAGACAGCGGCAGGAACGGCGGCGCCTCGAGAAGCCGGGGAGCGGGAGGACGGACGCCGGGGCCTAGCGCTGCCCGGCCGGGGTCAGCAGCTTCCGTCGCGAGAGCCCGCCGCGAGCCTACCTGCCGTCTGGCCGCACTCGCACGGGTCGCTGGGGGAGACGGTGGCCGGCCGAGGCGCACTCCCGCGCGGCCCTCTCTCCGTGCTCCGTCTCCTAATCGCGGGGCGCCGGGAGGCAGCGACGACGGCACAGCCGGCCCGGGACGCGTTACTTGAGGAGGAGGGAATTCCCGGGCGCCCGCACCCCACGGCCTCCCTCTCTCCTCCTCCTCCTCCTCCTCCTCCTCCTCCTCCTCTAGCCGCCGGCCCCGCCCCTCCGTTCCCGACGGGGGCGGCAGCGCGGGGCGGGGGCTGCGGCTACCTGCGCGCGCCCGCTCACCGGAACTCGCGCCTGGCCGCGCTGCCTGCTTCGAGCGCCTTCCGGCGCCGGATCTCTGTGCGGGGTTCGCGCTTGGCCAGGAGGCCAGGCCGTGTCACGCCTGCCGGCCCAACATGGCGGCGGGGGCCAGGCGGGCTCCTGAGGGGGCGTGAAGAGAAAGCTGCACAGGCCTGCGGCGCCCTGCCCTCCCGCGCGCCAACTACCGCGACGGGCACAACGGAGCTCGGCCCGGTTCTCCGTTGCGCCGAGGGGCGTGGGGCTTTGTTTTATGGGGTGGCCGGGGTTGAGGTTCTTTGAAGAGTTTGACTTTTCGTTTCTCAGCCTTGTGTCTGCGCAGTCTTTGTCAGTGATAGTAAAATCTCAGCCCAAGCGCGTGAGCCAGCGGGGCGGTGCTGACACCCTGGTCGGGATCCAAAAACGTTCTCGTCTGGCCTCTTTCCGAAGCTGGGATCCTGTCCCTGCCCCAGAAGCTTCCTGTTGACTGTAGGTCGAACCAGCCTTGCCGGGAGAGGAACCGAAGCTGAGTTGTGTTGGCAACTCTCCCAGGAATGGTGGCTTTCACTTGGTGCGGGACAGCATATTATTTGATCCTACTAAGAGGGAACCCAGACTATAGCTCTGCTTGACAGACAGATGTTAAAACTGAGGCGAGGGCCCCTTAAAGGGGAGAAGCCATGATGAAAGGATTTTCCCTTTCCGAAGGCCATGCATCTTTTTTGTTTGCCTTGTAGAAAAGGAAGGGTTCAGAAGGAACTGGGGTAAAGATGAGAGGCAAGGTCAAGAGACTGAAATCTAGACGCGTCCTGCTAAAGCCACTTCAGCCTTGTCAAACCCTTGATTTCCCTTTTGTATTTCCTGTTTGGTGGGGATATCCGAAGTATTGCTGTGGTTTCCTTTGTGGCTTTCAACAAAGTTCAGAATCATCTTCGGCATATTCTCAATAGCACCACCAACTGTGTCATTGTTCTGGTATTTTGGAACTTAAACGGAAAAAAAAACTTAAAAAGTTTTTTTTGAAAGTTTCAAAACAAAGGTATTGGAGTTCACATGAACAACTACATGTAATGTAGAATGATGCTTTATTTTGCCATTGTTTGGGGCATTAAGTTTTTCATATTGATGTTTATTCCATTTTTCTTAAAACTAGAATTTTACCTATTTGAGCTGTTCCGTTTCTAAACCTCCAGGTATAGTAGAAATACGTGTACCCCTAAACGCAATCTCAAAAACAAAACAAACAAAAACCCTTCCCAATGTTAGTTTAACCTGCTTTGAATTTGTTCTGTATGCTTTGTTACTTTTTTTTCCGATACAGGGTCTTGTTTAGCCCAGGCTGGTTTTGAACTTGCTGTGTAGAGGATGGCCTTGAGCCCCTGCTTTACCTCCACCTCCCAGTCCTGGGGTTGCAGGTAGGTGCCAGCGCACACAATTTCTGTATTTTAAGGTAGGGAGAAGGCATCAAAATCACACCTACAAATTATGTATTACATTTAATGGTTATTAATTTTAGAAATATTTAAAACTATTTTTTAAGAAAGTGGCAGAATCTGGAAAGTTTTGCTGAGTTTGGTGTTACAGAAATTAGTCTGAGCTAAAAACCTGTTTGTGAAATGGACAAGTGAAAGATTTCAGTCCCTGGTTCCCTCTCGCACAGTGTTGTGGTGTGATAAGGACCTATCTTGAAGCTTCCGGGAAAGTGAGCCCTAGGGAAGAAGGGGAGGTCAGGGGAAAGTTTAAACTATACTAGGTATTTCTAAAACTAAGATATTCTTATTAAAGCTTTTTAGTGCTTAAAATTACTTGGTTGGAAATTTGAATTATTAGTAATTGAACTGATACACAATGGAACCTGTGATTCTGCCTGGAAATGTTTTTGTTTAGGTTAAACTTCTGCTCTCAAGGAGAGATCTGACCCCCCCCCCCCCCCACACACACACACACTAAGGCCCTGATGATGTCATTTTCTCTTCCTGTAACTGAAAGGCCAGCTGCTTTGCATAAGGTGCATGCAGTGTATGATCTCAAACACCAGACAGATTTTTCAAGATGTCATTTATCCATTAGAAGCAGGATATCCTTGTAACCACATGGCACCTGCTGTTATCTATACCACCTTGACTTTGTCTTTTCCAGCTGGCCATGCCTACTCCAAGGACCCATCTAGAAAGAGCACAAGAGCTAAGACTTGTAGGATCAGGCATTTCTTCTTGAGTGTGAGGCTCATTGTGCTGAGCTCTCTGAAGCAGTACAGTGATCCATCATTTTCTTAAACCTTGTATTTTCATTACCTTGTACTGGACCTGGTGGTTTTGTTTTTGTTTCCTCTCCACTGTCTAAGAGAACTAGAATAACAGGCATGTGAACATGCCCTACAATGAATACACATTTATATGAAGTTCAGCAAATCCACCCTGTCTTCTTGATACTTTTTATTGCTTTCTCTGGCTTTTAACTTTGTGGTTATGTGGTACCTCCTCCGATCCAGGGCTGTTTTGTAACAATCTAGTTTTTGCTTTTACATCTTCTTTGGGATCCATTGACATAGTCTCTGACTTGAATCCTTGTAGTTTCTTTTTAGTTTGGATTAGGCTTAGAACAAAATCCCCACTTTCAATTCTAGCTCTTACTATTCATGCAGCTTGCTTCTTCTCAGAAGTCTTGCCTACATTTTCAAACTCATTCCAAGTTGACATTTCATTCTGCTCATTTAACTGCAACTTCTACACTGAATTTACACTTGACATCCTATGTGTGTCCTCTGCAGAGTGATCTATAGAAAGTAGTGGTTGTTGATGCTTTTTGAAAAAGGGAATCTATGGATCTAGAAATGTAGCTCAGTTGATAGAGAGCTTGCTTAGTCTACACAGAGCCACAGAGCTGTAGGTTCCATCTCCAGCACTAGGTAAACCCTGTGTGCCTATAATCTCAGAGGTAGAAGCAGCTGAGGAGGAGTTCAAGGTCATCCTTTGCTTTGTCTTTGAGTTCCTCTTGTAAGGGAGACTTGGTTGATGAGGAGAAGGATATGGGGAGAAAAGTATATCTAAGATTTTCTGAAAACTAGTTCTCTACCTAGTAACTGGAATTTAAACCTGTTCTCTGAATACATGTACTACTAATAGCAGGCTTCAATCTGGAATTTTGAGTATTTATTTTTAATTTGGGGAGAGATATGCACTGTGGTACTTTGGAAGGTGAGATCACAGCTTGTGGAAGTTGGTTTCTCTTCCACCATGTGGATCCTGGAAATTGATTGCAGGTTCTCACTTTTTGTGGCGAACATGTTTACCAGCTGAGGCATCTGTTTGGTCCTCTAGAATTTTGAATTTTGAAAGTAACTCAGATTATTCTTGGAGCTGGACTTGGATTCCCCATACCTTCCTTGTTTCCTGACTAAGCCTGCTTCTCTAGTCTTCCTGCTAATTCTCTAAACGTACTCTAATAAATTTCTTTCGGCTTAAGTTAAGTACAGAGTCTGTTCTTTGCAAGTGAGAAACCCAATTTAGAACCTAGCTCTTGAGAGACCGAAGCAAAGCGTCAGGAGTTCTAGGCCACCCTCAGCTACATACTGAGTTCCAGGCTAACCTAGGCTCCTCCTGTCTCAAACGAAACAAAAAATCCCAGAAAACAAAACACAATTTTGTATTTCTGTCAGTCACCTCAGCTCTGTGAGGGCAGGATTTCCTGCTTTCTGTACAGACTAGAAGTGGGGCACTTAAAGGGGATTTTCACAGAGAGGGATAAAGGAGCTGCACAGCCAGTAGAGATAGGAGCTTGCAGGAGCCCCAGCACAGATTGATGTGCTTCTAGCCAGGCATAAAGCTGACATCAGTCCTCTTACCTACTTGAAGCAGTCAAGGCTTTGAGATCATGGCCTCACTCTTCCCCTGAGCACTAATGACAACCCCAGACTCCTGCTCAGCACAGTTTGGACAGCAGCTACCCTAAACTGAAATATGTTGAAAGACATCATCTCCTCCCATAACCTGTACTTGCAGTTCCTATAACAACTCATTCCTAGAATGAGTAGCCTTTGTTGAGTATTGGGCCTGTGCTTTTCTGATCCCTTTAGCTGGTATGTAATCATATTGGCAGTGTTTCTGGCCTTGCGTTTAAACTCCTTTAAATTGGTACCAGCTTGCTACTTCTGGAGATCTTTACACATGGATTAGGAGAAGTAGAATCTAACTTTGCTTGAAGGTAAGATGTTGAAGTTAGAATGTTTACCAGAACTGATAGTTTAGAAAAGAAACTAAATCAAGCAATGTCTTTTAAGTTGATTAAATGTGACCATGAAGCATGAAATATTGATATTAGGAAGCTCTTTAATAATAATATGTTTTACTAGGTGATGCCAGCTTGGGTTTTATACTGTGTTTAAGCTTTTCAAACTTTTTTTTTTAAAAAAAATCTTTCTAAATCTGAACATTTTATTTCATTTTTAGCTACAAAGATCACTTTTTCATTGGTGACTGACCAAATTTTAAAACTTGGCTCATCATAAACTACAATGTCTTTAATCCTTTAACAAAATGTATTCACTCTGACTTGTATGTGAGTAGGGCTTTTGATTAGTTGAATTGTTTTTTGTTTTTTTCTTACTAAAACACATAGTGGTGCTTGCCTTTAATCCTAGCACTTAGGAGGCAGAAATCTACCAGGGCTACACAGAGAAACCCTGTCTCAGAAAAGAGAGAAAAAGAGAGAGAGAGAGAGATCGATTTATATTAACTATTTACAGTAAGACCCATATTTGGTGAATTGCGTTTTAAGTCATGTGAATGCATGTATTAATCAGATCAGCAATGCAGATAATAAAGTTGATAAAACACCAGCAACACAATGGGGAATATTATTTTAAGGTGTGTGATGTT